ATAAATAAAGAACAAATAGCAAATATAAAAGTCCAAAGTCAATGTGTAAACTTGCCAAAGTAGCAGCCAAATCCTATAGTCCATAGTGTGGTCTTTTTTTGTCCTTTTCTATAGGGATCAGGCCCGGACTGGCCATCGGACAAACTGGGCATATGCCCCGGCCAGTCAATGCAGAGCTCGCGCTATCCGAGTGTGTTCCATGACGGGCCAGTGGGGAGATCATCTCCCTCACCGGCCCACATGCAGCGAAACGCGTCTCCGCCGGGTTTCTCTTGCGAAAGCTAAAGTTCACTCACCACTAGTACCACCAGGGATGGATGGCAGCAAGATAATCCACCCTCCAAGGCTACAGGTAAGAAGGGAGGGGGTTATAATGCCTGTTTTTTTTAATTTTTATTTATTATTATTATGATTATTATTTTTAAAAAAATACAGAAATCTTGGTATTTACCTGCCTCCCCCAACGCACAATCCTTCCAAACACACACATCACCCTCACACAGCACCCTAACACACACACATCATTCTCACACAGCACCCTAACACACACACACACACAGCACCCTAACACACATTGCACCCTAACACACACAGCACCCTAACACACACAGCACCTTAACACACACAGCACACTAACACACACACACACACACACATCACCCTCACACTGCACCCTAACACACACACATCACCCCCACACAGCACCCTAACACACACACACGCACATCACACTCACACAGCACCTTAACACACATAGCACCCTCACACACAGCACCCTGACACACACAGCCCCTTAACACATACAGCACACTAACACACACACAGCACCCTAACACACACATCACCCTCACACAGCACCCTAACACACACACACATATCACCCTCACACAGCACCCTAACACACACACATCACCCCCACACAGCACCCTAACACACACACACACACACATCACCCTCACTCACACAGCACCTTAACACACATAGCACCCTCACTCACACACATCACCCTAACACATATACATCACCCTAACACACACATCACCCTCACACAGCACCCTCACACACACATCAACCTAACACACACAGCACCCTCACTCACACACACAGAACCCTAACACACACACACACAGCACCACTCACACACACATACTGCAGCCCCCAAACACGCTGCACCACTCTCACACACACACACAATACTTCCAAACATATATGCATATATATTATAGAACCCATCACACACATACTGCACCCCTAAACACATTATATTCCAGACAAACACTAGATTCCTTACTCAACTCTGGATCGTCTACAGATATACACACACTAGATCTCTATACACATTCTGAATTCTCTATATACACACACACACACATACACAAACACTCACTAGATATCCTATACACACTCTGGGTCCTTCAAACACACACTATATCCCCTACACACATACGCTGCACCACCTACACACACACTACATTTCTGACATACACACTCTGGATCCCCTATGCACACGAGATTCCATGTAAGCAAACACAAAGTGTCTCCATAAATGGGATACAGTGAAACTGAGACAGGTTTCAAGCAAACACAATGCAAGCATTTTATTAAATGTGCTTTGCTGTGCAGAACAAATACAGGACCCTTTTCTCATGCCCTGGAAGAGCATTGAACTTTGAGATGGGGCATGCTTGTCATTGGGGATGACAAAACACGCCCTATCTGGCCCTGCCCCCTTTTCAGGAATAAAACAGCCCAGGAAATTTTCTTTTCCCAGTCCGACCCTGATAGGGATACCGGATCCAAAGCTTCTTGGCATCCGTACAGATATAAAAAATAAAGCAAAGAAAATTGTCAAGGGGCTATATTAGGTAGCAAGTGAATAGAAAAGTAAACAGAAGCATCAGCACTGTATAACAAAATAGAAAAGAAAGGGTCAGCAAACCTAAAAAATGGGGCTCCCTCAAAGACGCAACAGAAATAGAATAATGCAGCAAAAGAGGAAAAGCTTGTGTCAATTATAAACAAATGTGTTTAGAATATTAAAACAAATAAATAAAGAACAAATAGCAAATATAAAAGTCCAAAGTCAAAGTGTATGCTCCAATATTATGGGATACTTTTAAAGTTCAAGTCTTATATGGTCCTACTCACGTTTTATAGAGCTAAGACCAACTTTAGTATGACTGGCGTATATGGGTATAATCCCCACTTGTAGGATAAATGTAGTAGTGTAATCAGCAGCGCAGTGGTATAGGGACCATGAGCCCAAAAATGACATAAAAATGACATGACCGCTCAATGAATAAGGCGTGAATGGTATAATCTCCACATAGGATTCTTTTGTGAGATCCTTTTTTGGAGTGATGAACAGGATGACAGGCGAAAAAAAAATTAAAAAGCAATAAAAAAAGAGGAAAATGGCACAATCACAGTGGAAAAGTAGCAAATATAACTTTAATTAGAATGCTTTAAAAAAAATCCACAACATGTTTCACCACATAGGGCTTTATCAAGTGAACAGTCAGTTCTTGAATTTCATGTGTTTGAAGCAAGAACAACGAGCAAGCGAATCGAGTGACTTTGACAAAGGTCAAATAGTGTTAGCTATATGACTTTGTCAGAGCATCTCCAAAATAGCAAGTCTTGCCGTGTGTTCCTCGTATGCAGTCGTTAGTACCTAACAAAAGTGAAAGGTGAAAAGAAAAATGGCTGAACAGATGTCATTGTCATGGGCACCCATCTCATTGATGCACGTGGGGAGCGAAGGCTAGCCTATCTGGTCTGATCACACAGAAGAGTTACTGTAACTCAAGTTGCTGAAAATCTTAATTCTGGTCATAATAGAAAGGTGTTAGAACACACATTGTAGTTTGCAATGTATAGGCCAGCATAGCCAAAGACCACTCAGAATGCCTATGGTGACCCCTGTCGACCGCCAAAAGAGTCTTCAGTGAGAATGTGACTTCCAGAACTGGACCATGGGGCAAAGGAGGAAGGATGTCTGGTCTGATGAATCAGCATAATTTTACCTGATGGCAGCAGGATGCTCTATGGTAAGAGAAGGCAGCAGGATGCTCTCTGGGAAGAAGGCCGGCCAGCGGAGGCAGTGCTATGCTCTGGTCAATGTTCTGGTAGGAAGCCTTTGGTCCTCGCATTCATGTGGATGTTACTTTGACATGTACCACCTACCTAGAGATTGTAGACCACGTACACTCCTTCATGGCAATGATGTTCCCTAATGGCAGGGAACCTGATGGCCAGCCACACTGCAAAGAATGTTTCAAAATGCTTTGGGGAACAAGACAAAGAGTTCAAGGTGTTGCCTTGGTCTCCAAATTCCCCAGATCTCAATCTAATTGACATAGTCTGAAATCTTAGCACTGAATAAGAAATATTGTTGTCACAGGCAAGTAGATATGACAAAAATATATTAATACAAATTGGAAAAAAAAAACATACTGTCTGTGTTTGGTTGTGGTATGGAATATTTGCAAAATTCAAAGCAAATCTAGGTGCGTGTATGGCTTTCAGGGACCTATTTTGTTTAAAGGTTGAAGTCTCTACATCTCTCTTTGCCATATTTTGTCAACATTTAAGCAATATTGCCAACAATTAGAGTTTCTACCTCTCCAAATAACTTACATTTTAGGAGTGATGGGAATTTAAAGGTAACTGCATAAAAAGTATTTAATAATCAAAATTAACTGAGCAGTAAAATTGCAGTCAGCATGAATAAAATCTACACCACAGACATCTTTGCAAAGGACAAATTATTAACATTTAATCAAACAGTATTAATTAGTTTGCCCTCTCTTATATTGACATTCAACTTATGAGGCCCTGGGACTTGTCAATTAAGATTTTAATTATTAGCAAAGTGATAACATTAATATAATAAGCCTCTAATAATCCATTTGCATCCTAAATAGTCAAGTGGAATTTATAGCATTAGATTCACATAACTAGAATATTTTTCAGTTTTAGACTTAGACTGATTTTATGCAATAATATTACGATGGTCAGGTAATGCTGTGGGGCAGAGGTAGAGAACATGAGGCAGTTTTGAAATAGAAATTGTAATGCATATGAATACTTTATTAAATAATGACTAAATGTTCAGTTGACATTTTTTAAAATTATACTTAATGGGACACTTCAGATCTCTTTATGTGTGAGGAGGGTGTCTTATTTTTTAAATTTAAAAAAAGTGCAGGTTTTAATAGAAATGTTAATTTATATAAATTAACCTTACTACAACCTCGTAGCTGTCAATCAAACAACCGGTCCTGTAACTTCCTGGTTGCTTAGCTCAGTGTAGCTAAACACAAGAGGCAGACAATTGCCCAGAGCACCTGCCTTGTAAGGACTTCTCATTGAGCTTTATTATAAAGTCTGGGCTGGTTTAGGGGATGGTTTGCAAAGGCAGCAGAAAATAAATCTGCAGCTTTAGCAAGCTATTTTTAGATATAGCCCCAATAAAAAATGCATAATTAACCCCTTAAGGACTGAGCCAAATGTACACATTGTGATCAAAACAAAACGTAAACAAAAACTTGAATTTGCGCTATATGTCTTTTCAGGCGTAATTCACCTCTTTCATATTATGTGCACCCACACTTATTATATATCATTTTATTCAGGGAAACAGGGCTTCCATTTAACATCAAATATTTAGGTATGAAACATAATGTAATATAAATAAAATATAAAAAAATGGGAAAAATAAGAATTGTAAAACTTTTTTTGTTCTACGTGACCTTTTAACTGTGAATGTTATAATACTGTTTGCTTTACTGCAATAAAATACGCATATTTTTATTTAGCGATGTCTCACATGTAAAACAGTACCCCTATGTACAGGTTTTATGGTGTTTTGGGAAGTTACAGGGTCAAATCTAGCATGTTACATTTTTCAGTTTTTTCACATTGAAATTCACCAGATTGGTTATGTTGCCTTTGAGACTGTATGGTAGCCCAGGAATGAGAATTACCCCCTATGATGGCATACCATTTGCAAAAGTAGACAACCCAAGGTATTGCAAATAGCGTATGTCTAGTCTTTTTTAGTAGCCACTTGGTCACAAACACTGGCCAAAGTTAATGTTAATATTTGTTTGTGTGTGAAAAACGCAAAAAACTAATTTGAACGCCAATTTTGGCCAGTATTTGTGACTAAGTGGATACTAAAAAGATTGGACATACCCCATTTGCAATACCTTGGGTTGTCTACTATTACAAATGGTATGCCATAATGGGGGTAATTTTCATTCCTTGGATACCATATGGTCTCAAAGGCAACATAACCAATCTGGCAAATTTTATTTTTGTAATTACAGTCACTCCCCCTGCTGGCACTGACATGGACGACTACACCGTCCATGTGATCACGAGGTCCTCGCAAGGACCTCGCGATCACATGGCCTAGGGGGGCTGGACCGGACAGAGGGGAACTCCCTGAGCTGCCAGGTGAGTCCCCGCACCGCAATCGCTGGCAACTGGTAAGCAGAAAGGACGGCGGGGACATGCTATGCCGTCCTTTGGGACCTGGCTCAAAACTCCGGAGGGCGGCATAGCATGTCCCGCCGTCCTTAAGGGGTTAAATACATGCATGGTTCCATTAGAGGTATATTTACTAAACTGTTAAAAAATTTGAATTTAAAAAAAATCCTTTAAGTATAACTACAGAGCTCCACCACTATTTCTAACCACATGCTCCCCCATGTAAAATAGCTGTCAATATCTACCTAAGGCATTTTTGTACATACTCAAGGAGATTTCTTTGATATTACACTTCTTACTCATCATACTTTGCAACTTGGTGTATGCAACTTGTACAGAAGCAACTTGAGTTGTAATGTAATTCCTAGAAAGCAATGCTGCCATAGGATGCCAAATGAAGCTTATTGTGAAAGGGTCCAGGTATAAGAATACTTTGCATACTTTGTATTTTTTAAAAGGGTTTTAGAAACCCTTAGAAAACAAAAATGACAGTCATCAAAGGAACACAATAGGCACTATAACCATTAACCATATAACCATTTAATCTCAGTCACCTGGTGCTGTCGCCATATTCAATGTTAAACAATTTCTGAGCAGTTTAACACTAAATAAATGCCTCTGGCACCCACACTCTGACACCCTGCTGGAGGTATGTCTGAAAGCAGTCACTTGACAATCTCAGCCAATAACAGCTGAGGAAGAAATAGCAGTCTGAGTGACAATTTGACTGAAATCCATTTTTCAGAGTCTCAGTGATATTTGGGATCATTTACTGACACGGAGTCAGTAAAAAAATTACATAAATTAACTTTCTGCTTCCTTAGACTCCCAACCATCCAACAGAACATTGATCAGGCCAAAGCAACCCATAAATAACTCAAACCCTTGAACCTTCAATAGTGTGCTGTAGTGGTTATGGTGCCAGGTGTTCCTTAATGCCCCCATGTAAGTAGTCAAACCATGTTTTTAACTCTTACCTGGTGTCTGACACATACTATTCTCTGCCTCCACCACAGCTCCTTTCTAGCCACTAGCTCTTTGTCTGAGTTAAGCCAGCATGTCTAAGCTCTGTTTCCTCGATTTCGTTATTAAAGACCAGATGAGT